GTGTATGTGCATTTGTTCAGATGCCAAATGGTAACTATTTGTATGACCTCTATTGTGTCTGCTCACTGATGGCATAAACTTCTTATTTCTTCTGTGGTGCAGAAAACTAGTCTTACAGAGACTGCTCAGCAAAGGTTATTAGCCAGTAAGGTAGATGAAGTCACTCAATTTACAGTGGAAGTTAGTGGGAAAATGAGGCTTACTGGTTGGAATTTTATTTTACACATATTGACTATATGTTAGATGTTTGGGATAGGAGTGCAATATGGAATCGATAAAAACCTCGGAGAGCCTATAGTCTAAGCCTAGGCTCTGAAAAGTATGTTAAACACTTCTCTGAAATTTCTTTTGATTCAGTACAATCTGTGATGGAGCCATGAATGATTTTGTGGAAAAGAGAGTTAAGAAAACACTAGTCAGCATATTGTAAAACTGGCTTTCAAGTATTGACTTTAATTCTTCGATAACTATTTTGGGCATTATTCATAGGGATGACGTAGTTACTGTCATTATAGAGTAATTTCTCACTTTGCCATATTCCTTTTGCTTCAAACGCAATTCATTGAAGAATTGTCTGATATATATAGCTGAATCAAGAGAATAAATGACAAAGAAGTGCCATTTTTTAAAGAAATTTTCAAATTAAAGGAAAACAGGATATATAATAAACTTGCATCTGCGTACTTCTTGCAGAAACTATATCAAAACCAAAAAAATTTACAGGCACTCATAGAAAATAGATTGTTCATCAAAGAACAGCTATTAGACAATAGAAGCTATAAAATGATAGATTGACATCTTCCAAAAGGAAAGAGAAATAACTGTAAACGTAGAATGTTGCGTGCATTCTGTATTCAAGAGATAAGGACATTTACATATATACTAAGACTAAGAAAGTGTATGTCTGCCGATTCAGTACACTGAATTTAATACAATTCAAAATCTGTTAGGTAATCAGGAAGGAAGACATCATATATATAAAATAATGGTAGACACTGAAATGGATAGAGTATATCAGTAAGTTTGTTAGCCATAACCTATAAAATTTTTTTAAAAGAATGTTAAGAGAAAATTCAAAATAGGTAAAACTCTTGACAATACTTCAGCAGATTGATCAAGAAAAACAAAGAATAAAAGACACTATTTACAACACACATCTAAACTGTATGCTTTTATAGTTTATGCTTTTAACTGTGTTGCATTGACTTAGAAGAAAATACTACAGACAACTTGAAAGCATTAAAATTTGAAAATGATAAAAATTTCTAGAAAGGTATAAATGTCAAAAGAGGCTCAAGAAGATTTAGGTAACCTAATCCTTTCCTGTCCTTTCCTTACCAGAAGACCAAGAATATTTATAGGAAAGCTTTACCATGACATCACAGAATAGATTATTCCCTATATTATGTAAACTGTCAGGAAGTAGAAAAGGAGAAAGCAAGTGGCTCTAAAAACCCATGACATGCATAACAAAACTAGGCTTAGACATTACAAAAAAAAAAAAAAAAGGAAAAAATTTAGGGAACATTACAGATATCAGTAAATAGATGAAAATACCCTTAATGAAAGACAAATGAATAGAATTTTGTAGTGTGTATTAATGTCATTCTCAAGAATGAAGGATTAAATATTAAAGGTAGAAAAAGTATACATGATTGCTTCAATATAGATGACATTAAATATAATAGATGACATTAAAAATGTTTGCTATATTTCCTGTAATTAACCACAAGAAAAAAAAAAAAGATGTCTTAGCAGACTTTGAGTAAAAGGATCTGGAGTTTCTTTAAACTGATAAAGTAAAATACCAAAAACAGTGTGAGCAATCACATTTCATGAGGAAAGTTTAGAAGTCTTTCTATTAAAGACAGAAAGTAACAAAGTGCATGCTTTGTGTTCTTTTAAGCAATGTGCTGAAGGGCTTAGGCACTGACATAATACAAGAAAAAGAAATTTAAAAGTTAAAAGAAAATTAGTAATGCAAATAAGCCATTTGCGATTTTTTGTTTGTTTTTACAGGAAATTTGATGGTGTCTCTAGCTCACTTAGCCTAGTTAATTAGTAATCATAAAAATAGTGTTCTTCATTTAGTCATCGATTGTACAATTAAACCAGTTACTTTACCCAACCGCCAATAGTTTTACAGTTTGTAAGGATGTCTGAAAGGGGAAAAGTGGCCTCTTCCAAAACATTCTTACTTCTTTTCCTAATCCTAAGTAAAATGAAGTAAAAGTGGTATAAAATAAAAAGTGAAATGGGAGGATTGTGTGTGTGTGTGTATGATGAAATCCCTTGAACTTACATTCTGTTTAAGGGTTGCCTTTGTCTGAATTTAAATCTGGTCACATTGTGGGTCCTCTCAGAGAGCTTTAAAATACACTGTTTAGCTGAACTCAAGTTTTATTAGTTTGAAGTGCTAGACAACCCTGCAGACCCATGGTGTATTTTAGTTTGGGTCATTATTTCCTGGTAACCTGGACAGAGTGCATGGCATGTATGCTTTTCTGTCACTTTCTCCCCTCTTGCTCTCCACAACCCCATTTTACAATCAGTTTTCACATTTTATGCTTTATTTATCTTTCTTCTTCTCCTAGGAAGCTGGAATTTTCTTTTCACTGAAAGGATTGAAAATTATTTGGTGAAAAGAAAACCACAAATCATGTAAGACTTTCCATGTAGGTGAAATAGAAAAAAAAAAATTTGTTAGGAAATATATTAACGAATTCAGTGAGATCAATTGTTTATGCAATTTAAATGACTTGGTGTTCCTCATAAATCTTCACAGTTCAAAATGTGGCTTTTGTTAAATGCAGTATTCTTATCTCTCTAACCTGGACCTATGATTTGCCTTTCTTTCACCTGTGATGATACCATGGAGGGTAATATTTAAGAAAGAGGTTTCCTGGCCTGTGTTACTATGTAGACTATGATTTCTGCCGCATTTCAACTTCCGGCTGTCAACTTGATAGGCTGGGACAGGTGGACGTTCTACTGACCAGCATCTCATTCAGGAGGCTGGAGGCTGTGAGGATGGATCTGTCTGACAAAAGAAGCAGTTCTATGAATATGAGTGTGCAGAGTGAAATCGGGACCAGCAGATGGTAGCGCTATGCTGTATTTCATTTTTTTCTTAAGCTGGGAGATTTGCTCTAGCCGTCTTTTCACAGAAACCAGCTGGGATTATCCATTAGTTGCCAGCACCCACAGGTTTGGGTAGAAGAGACTTGTTGCTTTTTTAGAATTTATTCAGCCACTCATTTTCATGTTCATCTGGTGGTACAAGATGCTAGTCAAAAATGGATTGATGAGAACTGACCTTTCTTTGGAGAACATCCCAATTAGATCCCATTTCTGTAATATGATTACATTTTGACCTCTGGCTTTTCCCTGTTTCTTTCTTTCTTTTTTTTTCTTTTTCTTTAATCTTCTGACATTTTAAGTTTCTGTGATCTCTGCTATTGCCACTTCAAATCTCATTACTGAAAGTTCTTCTCATGTTATAAAGAGAAGGAGCATTTCTCAAAAAATACTGACACACTATAAAGGACCATATAATATGAACTTTAATAAACCTGCTAGTTTTAGCTTTCCTTTGTAATATAGAGCACTTAGGCTTCTGATCCAAAATGCTTTTAGGAAACATGTTTTGTTATGGGTTTTGAAACTTACTAAGCAAAATAGCTATATAGAATTAAGTTCATTGTAGCTAATAGTCCTTGGACTGGTTTAGAAATGCCCATTACCATTTGAGATGAAAGAAAGCAGAGATTGCAGTTAGGTTCATTTAAGGGGTGTATCAAGGAAGAAACCTGAGATTGAATCTAGGAGTTGTGCTTGTTCTGTGTCCTTGGGAAATTTTGGTTGTGAACGAAAAGAAGATTCAGCTTAAACATTTGCTGTCTTCTTCCGTTCTTTTAGAACAGTTTGAATTTGATGGTACTTTAATAACATATAACCTATTACAACTATGTGAGAGAAAAGTAAGTTCAGGACCGAGGGTAGAGATGACAAAAGGATAGAGAGTAAATAAAAGACAGAGCCAGAGGGGGCTTACATACTTGTCCTTTCAGGAGACAGTACATTGGGTACTAGATCTGTGTTCTCTAGTTGAGGGGCCAGTGGGGCCATGTCAAGTCAAGTGACCTTCAATGTTTGTGTATTCTGGTATGAAATTCTTAGGACTGTATGAGTTTGGAAGGGAGTTTGAGAAATAACCTGATTGACCCTGGACATTTCTCCTTAACTGTCTAACTGGGTAGGTTTTCAAAAGCCATCTGAGACCACAGTGAAACCCAGGACACAAGGCACAGCATTTGTGATCTATTGCCAGGATTGACTCAGGGTCTCTGGGAAAGAAGACCAGTGTATGGGGGCATGTATTTCTTTTCTCACTGCTACATGTGCCTCCTATGTATTTAAGAATTCCAAGTATTAGAAATGGAGTTCAAAAAGTATATGTATATGTTCAACTGAGATGTTTAAGAAACAGCCAGAGCCAATTCCAAGCTCTTCCATGTGGGTTTTCTGAACTCAAACATTTTCTTCCATTGTTTTGGCAAATTTTGCTTTGACCTTATTCCCAGGCAGGGTCTCTGATAATGACCACCAACATTATTCATCTTCTATTTTACCAGTTTAAAAACCTCAGCAAAAAGAACACTTCTTTCCCCAAGGAAATCCTGACGCTGATTTTCATTTGCCTAATTTGTGTGTCTTTCCATCCCTGACCCAATCAATATAATTAGTGTCTTCTTTACTCTTTGGTGCCTAGAGGCGGGGTCAACACCAACTGAAACATATAGACTGGGAATGGGGGGGGGGGGGAGTAGATGTGCTGTTAACATTAGAGAAGAAAGGGATAGTAAATATAATCAAATGGTCAGTACATATATATCCCTAGGGCTATCTAGCAGGACAGCACTGTCAGCCAGTGGGCTCCTTAGCTGAACCTTCCACTGTTTAAGCCTAACCCTTCCCAAATTGCCTCTGTTTTGCCACAGATACGTGTTTCCCAAGTTTACCCTGTGCTGGACTGAGTTTGTAGACATGAAAGTTCATGTGCCCTGTGAAACCATCGAATACATAGAAGCTAATTATGGTAAGACCTGGAAGATTCCCGTGAAGACATGGGACTGGAAGAGTTCTCCCCCCAATGTGCAGCCCAATGGAATCTGGCCCATTGCTGAATGGGATGAGGTTATCCAGTTATACTGATACAGTAGGATGAAATGGTAGAATGAGTTTCTCTCCTGAAAAAAAATGTGAAAACTGTTTCAAAAGATACACGTCTGCTATCAACCATGAGTGGGAGCCAAAGAAAAATGACAAGATTGAAGACACATCTGATTTAATTCTCATGTCACATTTTTTTTAAAGATTTATTTATTTATTCATATAAAACTGATGTATAGGCCAGAGGTGCAGGGGCGGTGAGAGGATTCACCAGCGACAGAGTGGGGAGCAGAACAGGCTGATCCATGAAGTACACTGCTGAGGGGAGCAGCGGGCCAGTCAGGAGAGGTCTGCCACGCGACGTGGGTCACCTCCTGGGCTGGGTATCGAACTCGCACTGAAGTGACTGCATCTAGCTTGCAAGTGCCTAGTCCTTACCCGTTGTGCCACCAAGGAAGGCCCTCATGTCACATTTTTAAGGAGTCTGCACGTGTGCCAGGTTACAGTGAAGAAGCAGAGATGAGTAAGGGACACCTGCCTCTTTCCCCCCTTCTCTTTGAAGCACCCCAACTTTCTTTGAGGGAAATAGCCCCACCCTTTAAAGAGCTCATAAAGAATATATGTTCTCCAAGTGCTTTGAAAATGTCAGGTAATGTTTAGACTGGGAAGAGGGCTTACCAGGCAAAGCTAAGCTAGGAAGCTTACCAGGAAAGCTATACTGGTTAAATGACCTTGCCTTTAGCATTCTGGCTGATATGAAATTGTGGAGTCCGTGGTAAGACTTTAGGTAGCTTCAAAAAAAGATGCTAGCAGACTTTATTTTATAAGCAACCTTTTCAGAAATTGATTTGAAATACAGGGCATCATCTTATAAGCAATTGAGAGCTTATTTCTAACCTTGTCAAAGAGGAGTAAATTTCCATACACTTTCTATTTTCATATTCCAAGTGAGAAGAAAGCATATGTTTGTGTGGTTGAGATTTCCAGCCATTGTGAGAATATTTTCACTGACTTCCAATAGTGCGTTTTGACAAATCATTCAAGTGAGACCATATTACCAGATATAATTGTGAAACTGTTGTGGTTTTTACAAAACTTATTTTATTTCATTCTCTCATTTTGTTAGGTAAGATTATGAACTATTGATGACATTTTATGTTTTCTATAAATCTGTAATCCTTTAATCCCACTGTTAATGTTAAATTAACACTCAAATATTAGCAGAAAAATTGGTAATTTTTCTGAAGGTACTATTCAGTGTATTCATTCATCAATTGTACTCGGTATATTTAATGTATAACCTATAAACTAATTTGAATTAGATGTAAACCCATCTGTTCCCTCCCCTCTTCCTATCATGTCTCCAAAATGAAGATAAATGGCAAACCAGTCAGCCCATAGAAATCATAATCAAGTTCTGTATAGCTAAACCTAATTTCAGTTTTCATAGTTGAAAATTTTAAATAATATTTCTGGGCAGACCCACCCTGCTTAGTGAATTCCATTTGCTTGAGCATGTGCTTCGCATTCCTGCCCATTTCTAACAGGGGCACCCACTTTGCCAGAGGCTCTTCCCACCCCTCTTTAGGTTACTTCTTTTCTCACCGTGCAGGGGTGCAAGATCTTAAAGTCTCCCAAATGTAAGCCTGCTTGGTCCCATTAGTGGAGGCTCCACATTCTTCCCTCCATAGGCCACTGGCAGCTGAACCAGCCTTCTGGACTGTCCTCCATTTTCACAGACCACAGCTCTCAGTTCCTACCCTAACTTGGGAGACTGAAGATGAGGCTTGCCCTTGGTAGACAGTCAGCTGTATTTCATCCTCTGCTTCTCAGCAGTTGCCCTCTGCCGAGTGTCCAGAGACCTGGGCAGGTGCACCTACCACTAACATACCCCATCAGGTCCTTTTTCTTTCCTCCCCTTAGTATTTCAACAACTATACTCCAAATCTAACCACTTTCAGGGCCAGTTTGCCTGGCTCACCATGAGAAGACCTCTTCCATCGGCACCTAGAGCGATGCCCAGAGCGATTCTGGGTGGTGAGACCGATGACTTCTGCTTGGCCACCGCATGGCCGCTCAGTCCTTCTCTAAGCAGGGAGTTCCTTCCCATTCTCCTTTTCTCTGCTACTGACCTCTGGTTCCTGCAGTAAAACCACAGTTTCCAAATTGAGCATCCCTAAGAAGTCGGGCTGTGGAATGGAACAGGGCTTCATGATTCTGAAGCTAAAAATGCTGAAGTGTGACCACTAGGTGGCAGAATGTCTGTCCTCCAACCCCCTCAAAAACAAGTTATACTCAAGTTGTTTACTTTTCTGCACAGAACTTGTAAAATTTTCATTTTATTGGTCAAGCTGTTGTCTCCTAGGGTTTCTTATCCCACATGCTACCTAGTTCCTTGCTCGCAACCTGTTCATTCTCTATGCCTCCCTAGATTTGGTACCCATTCTGCCCTGTGTCAGCTGTTCCTAGAAGTAACTTTCACCTGCTTGCTAGTAAATTTCTGCCCAGTCAAAATCAGATATGTCATTTGAAGGAAATAATTTGGAATACTTAGTTTTGTTTAATTGTCTCTGCTGGATTCCTGTATCAGCATTAATATAGAAAAACCGAAAATACGCATTTCTACCTTCTTCCGTCAGGCTGGTGTTTCTCTTCCAAGCAGGCAAGAATTAATTGGATATACAATGCTATTTTAAGCTGCTGTGCATCAGACTAAAATCCTAATTATAGTTTGTAAATTAAACAAATCAATACAATAGTGATTATCTTTTATGCAATACCAGTAATGAGGTAGTCAAGTATGAATTTTTCTAATGAGAAAGCTCTTCTGGCTTAGAAGATACCGCCCTCTGCCCCACCCCTCATAATCCTTTAATCCATCCTAAGGCACAGTTTATATAGGAAGCTGTTAGCCAGCCAAGCTGCTATATATACCTCAAGCAGCTCTCACAGTGGGGTTGAAAGGGAGTATGAGAATTAGAAATACTGTACTTTGTTCTATAAAATGATATGCTATTAAAATGATGTACCATTACAAAACTCCCAGATTTTGTAGCCTTCCGATATCTCGTTCAGAGCATGGGGGATAGTTCATGTATTTGTTAAGTGAAAACCATGAGTAACTTCATAAGTCCCTTCTACTATGTAACAAGAAAAACTTAGTTGAATTCTCTGAACAGTGATATTTTAAACATGAGTAAATTTCAGTGTATGCTTACTAATTTACTCTTTGATTTCATCTTCATGTACAGATATTTTGTGGTACTACTGAAAATACCTTTAATATTATTTTCATCAGAATTTGTAATATATCATCCCAGTTTGGGATGATGAATAAAAATTTTCTAACCTCTTGAGATGTTATGTGTTTATTTTTGAAGTTAGCTTAGAAATAATAGACACTACCATTCATGAACAAGCTGATAAAATAGTGATCTTGCCACCAGTACAATATTTCTGAAATTCAAGTCTGGAGATCCAAGAGTTCTCAGTAATAACGCTTGCCAGCCACAGGCCACCAGGAAGACACCTGTTATCAAATAAAGTTATTCAGCAAAAGAGAATGCCCAACATGGAAGCAGTAACATTTCAGGAAGAAAAAAAGCTGCTGGAAGCTGAGGGGCATCTTGGTATTGGTTCGGGAAGTGGAGCTCAAGAGCAGAGGTGCAGACCACAGAGAGGAAGTAAGCAGGGACCAAGTTTGAGTCTTGCCCGGGAGTGGTGAGTGGGAGTACAAGCGCTGCCTTGTATCTTGTCAAAACATTTGGCTTTCCCTGTATGAATGTCTCAGAACAGAGTCTGAAACGCCTACTGGTGCCCTATTTATTTCAGATGATTTACAGAGAAACCAAACCCCCACCAACTAGAAAAAAATGGATCTGCTCTTAGGTACTGTGCAGGTGTTTGTATTCAGAAAAGCCAAAGTGAGAATGGTGGTGAAAAATCAAAGTTTCCTCTGTAGGGGTTTCATCAATTAGATTTATTATATGTTGGGAAAATTCAGCAGTTCTGCTGAGGAGGGAAAACCTAGCTCTCCCTTACTGCCTTTCTTCTCTGTGTGTCTCTTTTTACACAGGACACTTCACTTCTGACACCAAATGTTGGAGGGTTTGCCTCACGCCAAGCAATTCTCTGCAACAGATGGAGTTGTGTGCACTTTCCCTCCTTCTGTCATGATCTACCTGGAGATCCCACAATAAGGGCTCCATCCCACAGACTGCAGCTGCGCCGCTTCCTCCCCTCCCCCCCCAGCCTCTCAACCCCACAATACTGCAGATGCCAGTTACAAGCCCAGGTTGTCACCTCTCAGATTAACTCTAAATTAGAGGTTCTCACCACCCCCTCCTTGGTTTCAATTCATTTGACCCAACAGTTCACAGAATTTACAATTTATTTATGCTCACCGATTTATTATAAAAGGAGAATATAAAAGACACAGATAACCAGCTGGAACAGCTGAGGAAGGCAATGTACCTAGAAAGGGGTACAGAGCCCCCCTAACCTGCCACCTCCACATGTCCAGCAACCAGGAAGCTCTCAGAACCCCAGACTTCAGGGATTTTTATGGAGGCTTCGTCCTGTAGGCACAATGGACCTTTATTCCACCTTCAGCCCTTCCCCTTTCTCAAGAGAATGAGCACGGGGATGGAAATTCCAAACATCTAATGGTATCTTGGTCTTCTTGTGACCCGCCCTCACTCCAGGACCCATCCAAAGTTGCCACATTAGAAGAAGGCACCTATCACTCTAGAAACTGAATGGTTTCCAGAACTCTGGAGCCAGGGTCAAAGATCAAATATTTGAATAAAAAATGTTCCTGTCTCTAATTACTTAGTACATTATACATATGGGCCTCAGGAGCAATAGATATTTCATATTGTCTTACAGGTGACATCCTCCAGTTTTCCTAAGACACCCCAGTGGAGCTTCCTGAGAACATCTGCTGGATTTAAGGATGGCAGAGTTTCTCCCTTATCCCCTCAGTGTGCGTGTTTGGTTTGGGATTTGTGAGTCTGGGGAGCTGAGGGCTGTGGGCAGCTCAGGCCTGACTGATTTTTGCCCACCTGCCTGAAACTTGGCCCTGGGGGCAGAGGCCCCTCCCCAGCCCAATCCAGCACCCCGCCCTCCAGCCCTTGGGGCTGTGGCCTTTATTTCAAGCCTGGTCCCCAGGGGCTGAGCTGGGAATGGGGACAGCTGATAAGCCTGACAGTATTGACTTTATGGGGAGTATTCAATGAATTTACTTTC